TTGAATCCTTCTCCGTCCTTAATCTTCTTTCATAGTCCCTGTTCTGCCATCGGCTTTTCCCGGTCTTCATGCTTCCTTGTATTACTTTGCCTGGATAGCCGTTGCTAAGGCATATTTTAGTCAATTTGTCCAATCCACATCTCAGAATTCCACATTCATTAGACGTAGACTTCGGATAATCATGCTCCCCATTATTCCTATTTTTAGCCTGTGGTTGTGATGGGATTAGAAATAGGGTATTATCCCTTTCTGAACAATTTATTTGCGAGCGTCCCATTAGAACGAATCACTTCAATGTCCAGGAACGGTAACCGCTCACCTTCCTCTACTTCCAATGTGAATTTAATTTTTTCCTCGATCTGGTTTACAAACTTTAGAAACTCTTCCAATTTATCTCTTCCATGTGATCAAAGTATGAGGTTATCTTCCAGGTGCCGCATGAGCACTGCTGGTTGTTGCGGTGACATCTTGAAGTTCTCTTCTAATTTTTTCATGCTTACGTTTGCCAAAAGTGGTGAAAGCGGCGATCCCATGGCAAGTCCAAATATTTGTTCATAGATGGTCTCGTTGAATGTAAAATAGGTTGTCCTTAATGTCAAGTTGATTGGTCGAGTAAACGACGTCCTCCGGATCCGTTGTGATTCCAGGATATCCTCCTCTCGGTCCTGCGAAGTAACTCAAAAACTACGGCCAATATCCAGAAAATAGAGTATTCGGGTGGTCATGAAGGAAGAAACAACACTTTTCACAAGTCCACTGACGCAACATGAACTGGTAGACAAATTGGGTTGTTCAGAAGCTTACTGTACACCATGCGGCGCCTGTAAACAGAAATATATTGTCGAAACCGTAAGAGAAATTAGAAAAAGGATCAAGAAACATGAAACCGAAAGATCTGAATTGGCGGAGCATATCGCACAGACTGGACACGAGATGAATTGGAGGGCAACAGAAAGAACGGCCTCATACGATGACAACACAAAGAAGCGGAATCTAATCAAGGAGACGACCCGTGAATTGTTCTATCTGCAAGCATGTGAATCACAGTCTAGGCGCTCTGATCGGTGAGGTGGCAGTTGTACGTGCTTCTAGGGCCTTGAGGAATAGCACTCGGACTAAAACGCACACTGGGACTGGAACCGAGTGAAACCGGTCAACCAGAAAGATAAGGATGGGATCTACGGGTCCATGACGGAGACCCTAATGGTATGAGCCGATCGAAAGAGAGGGGGTCGCGGTTAATAGCGGGTGTGTAGGAGGCCACACTAGATCTTCCACAAAAGGGCATACATTTTGACGAGTTGAATGTAAACAAGGGAGAAGTTGTGATAGGTCGGCGGTGGGATAAGAGTGTAAAGAGTAGATAGATAGACCAGGACAAAAAGAGGAGTGATAGAGTAACAGTTTTCGGCAGAACGGTTGTCGAGAGATTGACTTCACTTGACTCTTTGACGAGTTCGTTGCCATAGTAGTTGTCAGCATCAGACGTTTGAGAATGTACCAAGTCCACTGTCTGATGCTGGGAATCATGACAACTACTATGGCGGACGAGTTCGGACTGGGTGCGTTCTACTAAGTCGCCCCGACAACATGACCAAGTTACGACAACGAGGGCTTGTAAGAGGTCCGTATTGAGTCATTTGACAACTTTTAGTTCCGAATCTAAAGTTGGTTGGAAGGAATTTGTGAATAGGTAACACCAGAAACCGAAGTAGGATTGCTTTGTGGTGGAAAATTTTGGATCGTGCGAAGAAGTTCTGCGACCCCGGTGAAGGCGAGCCTGTCATGTGGCAGATATGGCCAGATCGAGAAATCATTCTTTGCAAAAAGTCGGTGAGAGGTCAATTCAAGACTTTTTTCAGACCAGCTTTCAAGGTTGGCCAACCTTGTGTCTGTCATTGACGGACATAATCAGAGCAAGTTGCCATTATTACAATTGAATTCAAGCAAATGAGTAAAGACAAACTTATATATATATAGTTATATTGTATATAAATCCTTACATATTGGCATATGGCATAACTTTATACCTCATAAAAATGTCTAGGCTTATGGCATTTATTGAAGATATGAAAACCAAGATGGTGTGGCCTCCGGTATGGTCGCAATCTCCTTTCGATTTATAAAAGTGGGTTGACCTCGTTGTCGCAACTTGGTCTTGTTGCCAGGGCGACTTGGTAGAACGCATCTACTCCGAAATCGTCTGCCACATTAGTTGTCATGATTCCCATCATCAGACATTGGACTCGGTACATCGGTGACTGCTGCCGACTACGATGCCGACTAAACGTTTGAGAATGTACCAAGTCCACTGTATGATGCTGGATATTATGACAACTACTATGGCAGACGACTTCGGACTAGGTGCGTCCTACTAAGTCACCCTGACAACAAGACCAAGTTGCCACAACGAGGTCAACCCACTTCTATTTAGGACGTTTATGTTGGTGCATTTTCTTGACTCGTCTGCTTGAATACGTTTGTAGTTATGATAGACTGCTATGATGATGATGATGATGATGATGATAAAGATGATGCAGATGAACATTTGACACGTTTTCCCCATACTCTAAGAAGAATGCTCTTTGCACAATCCAAAAGTCTGGACTTCTTCGGCTTCTGGTAAGACCAATCCGCGAATGATCTGCAATCAACTCTTCCCTCGAAACGCAAAGTCGTGTCATAATAAGTTGCTGTTTGCTTTCGAGATGCATGGCATAATCAAATTTAATGTAACTTCAATTATTCTCATTTATTTACTTCGAATATGCTTATTGTCTATAATATCCTTCAACAATATGTTATATAATACGGAGGATCGAATAAGTAATAAAACTATTTTGGGGCTAAAATTTGCATCTGTATACGATCTACGGGAAGATGTTAGATCTAGGAGGTATGCATACAATTTGCGAGCGATATGGTTGCAAGGTTCCCAAATTCGATATGTAGGGTCTTGCCAGACAGGTGTCCTCGAGGTTTCGCTGAACTATGACCTCTGAAGAGG